TTTTAAAAGAGAAAAAAATAATTTTGTGCTATTTCTATTCTTTAATCAAAAAGAACCATGTCCCACTGAAACAAGTTTTCACTGCAACAAGTGACACTGCATCAGAATACTCAACTTTTATGAATTGTAGAGCTTATCTGATTTGAAACATCTATATTGGATGACTTTGCATCTAGACAAGTTACTTAATTGAAGATTTACAGTCCACTAGCCAGCTAAAATGCTGACATTTCCCCCACTGTCTGCACTATTGTCAGGCCAACAGGGCTGCCCCAGGAATAACCAGCCCAACAGCATTACAGATTGGCCTAGAATAGACTTGGCATCACACACAGACAGCACTATCTAAGTATCTTATCGCTGCAGACTTAACTTCATAATGCACCATCCTAATCCCTATCTGATTTCTAGTCTACAGTACACGCCCCTTAGTCATCATGCACCAACAAAGTTATAAAATACATACCAATACAGGGGTTAAAATACTTTTTTTTTCCAGGTTGCCCGGGCGGCAACCTGGGTCAAAAGCCAGGTTGCCCCATCAGGATTTCAGGTTGCCCCATTTCAAAGGAACTGGATTCTTCAAATCTGCTACCCAATGTCCATTATCCTTTCTTTTTATCAATTTTAATAGGTTTGTTTATCAAGTAGCAAACACAACAGCTGTCAACCATCCTCATTTATTCAAAAATGCTACCTTCACATCTCCGACTCTGAGCCGGAAGAACTGCTGGTTTCATCATCTACCTCGTCCTGTCTGGGCCTTCTTCCATAAACACCTAGAGCTCTCTCAATATGACCGATCCACCTTGTACTAGGGATGTGGACCTTAACCCATGTTCAGGTTCAGGTCCGGACTCATGATCATGACCAGAGGTTTACATGTAGGTTCAGGTCCGGACCTTATGATTCCGGACCTAAATCCATGGCATGTTTGAATGCAGTTACACCAGCATAACTCAAGCAACTTGGCTAAATTAAGATGAAAACTCTTTATCAAAGACTTCTATCAAAGAGTCAAAGACAGAAAGATTGAAATAAACTCAAGCTTGTCTTGTTTATTCACTGGTTCTGACACAGCAGTGCAACTACTGTTAGCACCCTTAATTTTGAAAAAATTGGGCATAGGTTCCCCGGATGACCCCTAACCGGGGGCCAACGGTGCTTCTACAAGTTCAACAAGTGAAAAATACATGATACAAAATGTACATGTATTTACTACCTGGAACTTGGAGCAAAGGTACCGACATTAACCTTAATATATTAAAAACTAAGCCAAACTAACTAAAATAAGCTAGTAACCCAATCATATTCATATCCCAAACAAAATCACATATTGACACAGCTGAACAAATAAAAATGTGATTATGTCTATAGACTCCTACTCAAAAACAATTTTTGGGAGACACTCGGACCGCCTGGTAGGCATGATCATATAATTTATATTATAAATCTCTAATATATGTCAAGTCCTTCACAGCATCCAACCGCACATTCTAAGAAACAACTATTATAATATTCTGACACTAGAAACCAATAAATTTGAAACATTTCACAGTAATGTTTGAAAATTAACCTTCTAAAAATATAAGTGAATTTTTATTTCTGTTGATGCCGAAAAATTTCATGCGTTTAAAGTATCGTTTTAGCACATTGCAATATCTTGTACGTTTGGATGCTAACTTGACCTTTGACCGCTTTTGTTGTCAACATGTGTCGGCCATGTCGGCCATTATTTCTCAGTCTTTCGAGCTGGTTTTTTTGACAAATTTCAACCGTTTTAAACATTTTACGGCCTCAAAAACTCATAAAACGGAGAAACTAAGGTATAGTTGTTATTTTCATGCGTATCATTTCTTCTGGGGATGGATTATTTTTCCGCGGAACCGCCGAAAACTAGCGGTCGGGCACGCGCACAGCCGGCAGGATAGCGGCTCGATCCACGTCGCTCGGCCGAAGAAAATTCGAATGACGAACACATTTATCGGGGAAATATTGGAATTAAATCCCTACGCCATGCGCACGTGCTAAGGGAGGCGAAACGCCGATCAACACCCGCTGTTATTTGAGTAGAGGGACTGCTCACGTGCAGGCCGGCAGGCCGAAGCGGGATGTTATCAGGCGGGACGGCGGCACTGTTTAGTATATTTTCAGAAGCCGCTGGCCGTAAATCCAGCCGCTGTAAAAATAACTTGCGCTCCGGGCAACCTGGCTTTCCGAATAAGTCTCGCACAGAAAAAATTACTTGCGCGGCGAGACTGCGAGACCGGGTATTTTAACCCCTGCAATATAGATGCAACATAGACAATACAGGCATAAACATAACAAAATTATGAGAAATAGGTCAAACAAAATTTCAAACAAATATTCTCCTGATTCAGGGTCAGGGCAAGAAAACATCTAAGAAGACTTTCAATTTTATTTGTAAATGTACATACATGTACAGGTATGACAAAAGGACCGAACTTGTCATGCAAACCAGCATGAATTTTCCCTGATGTATAATTTTGTTCAAAAAATCATATTGTCATTATGGCAGCAGATACTTATTCTTAGTATACCCTTTCCATCAAAAAGTTGAAACACCCTTAAGTTAATAAAGATTATTAGTGTTTTAACTTTTAAGATTCCATTCTTTGTCATCATCATCATCATATTATAATCATGGTCACCACATATCAACAGCTACATGTGGGGGGGGAGGGGAGCCGTTGTTGTCTGTTGTCTCCTGTCAGCTGCTAGTTGTGCCGGGTGTGCCCTCTGGCAATTACTAGTAATGTAGTATGGCCTGCAATACAACTTTTACAAGTAAAAGTGGTTAAGCTTGTCTGAATGATGTGTAGCCTTGCTAAACCAAGCTTGACT